GATTTGGATAGAACTTTATGTGCGTTTGCTTAAGGTAAGGGAAGCAACTCTTACTATACCTCTGACCACCAATAAAACTGATTTTGTGGCAGTTAGTACAAAAGCTATAAATGTTTCTCATTGAATAGATTTATTTGCCATCAATATTAGATCAATGATGGCAGATTTTGATAATCTGATGAAAATAATGGAAATGATGATTTTATATATACACATTTAGGGCAGTAAAGTTTTTATAATCCTTGTTAGACCTCTCCATCTGAAAAAAAAATCTGGAATGTTTGTAACCGGTAAATATCACTTTTAACTTGAGGGTTTTTTCAAGTAAAAACTAATTTTCATGATGTAAAACTAACCATGATTTTATTTTTCCATTTTCTTGTGATATTGGGTGTAACCATTTCCTGTTTAAATTGGTTGATTTTCTTCACTTTATGATTGCAAAATGTAAACTAGCATACCCTGCCAAACATTAATGAAAATATTTTGATTTATCTATCCTGAATAATTGATATCAGCACTTTTATCAAACTCCTATGTTTTAATATCCATCAGAGATGCAAACTTTAAAATTGAATTAACGTCTTAAAAACCAAGATTTCAATAAAGGAATTCCAAACACTTCCAGAAAACCTTTCAAGATTTGTAGAATATTTGCTATGAATCTAGCAACTTGTGAATGCTCTTTTGATTATACCCATGCAGGTTGACGATCACCTTGTATATATATTTGTCAGTTCTCCGTGAAAGTGACCAAGCCTGTTTTTTAAGCTGTCGTTTTTCAATAAACAAACTAGATGAAAAGAAAATATTGAATAGACTGGCTGTTATCCTAAGACCGGGGACAGAGGTCACACATGGCTAGTACGCAATCAATACCCCTTGGTTTTTTTGTTATAGAAGCTTACTATCAAAATGTTGCCAAGATTATTTATGAAGTGTATTCAGCGACATGATAAAAAATCTCATTTACGCTTTGAACAACATCAAATCACTATCGTAAATATTTTTTCAACTGGGACAAAAAGCTATTCACCTATCCAGATGTTGCTTTTCTTTCATTTTCTCTTACCGTTCGGATTTTATTTTATTAGTTAAAGGAAAAAAGTGAGATTGATTATATTCAATCATTGGTTTTGGTGAAAGGATTTTATTACACCCAGCCGAAAAAGTGGATAATAAAAAACAGGATAAAATGTTGATATGAGCAGGTATCAACTTGAACTGCTATACACCTGAGTTTGTGATCTGGGCAGGTAGCGGTCAGTTGGAAATGACCACAGAATCCATACAACCAGGTATAATGGTCTGAGACCGAAGAGGAAAAATAATGGTTTTGCAGATACCGTTGATTTAGGTGTGGACTACAGACACTGACACTGTATAAGGAGATGGTTATTACATGTTGTTTTCTTGATCTACATATATAAGTATTTTACCTGCTGGAATCAGAAGAAATACAGGTATAGTTTTCCAGGTAATATTGTATAATAGACAGGAATCGACCGTGGTTTTGTGAATTTTCAGAAATGTAACTAAATTTTCAGTTACTAATGTTACTTAATACAACTGTTGCATTAGTAGTTTATCAGAAATGAAAAAATACAAAACTTTGTAAATTCTAAATATATCGGAGGATTTTCAGAATAATGTTCACAGGACTATGATGACCTGTTTACGTTCACACAAGTTGACATTTGATATGTAGCTGAGTACCTTACATCTATATATGCGTATGTTCACCAAATTCTATCTATCTGACCGGGGATTTCCCCTTAAACAGATATTTTTTATACATCATTAGTAGTGTTTTCTAGGGTTTTTTCTAGACATCACCTTCTCGTCCCTAGTATAATAAGTAGCATTTCCGATGAGGTGTTCTCCATATAACTGGACATACAAGCCCATTTTCTGATCTGATTATCACAATCACTGAATGAATGTACTAGTTTTTGACATAAAAGCAATCCCTGCCTGAATAGACAAAAAGGACATCCTGTGAGGCACTGAAAGATTAAACCATTTTGTGGGATGTTATTAAGATTTTGAAATAAACTCTTCCTGGTAGGTATACATCTAAAACTTCCTAAAAGATAACTAAAACCAAAAAAGTTGGGAATCATTCAATGGGCTTCTTATTGTCGGGGATCTGGTATTGAAAATAAATTTTCGTGAGTCCTAGCGCTAAATCAAAAATGGTTTGGGCACAGATAGTATTCTAAAGTCCTATTGCTAATTAAATCCATCTTTGATACCAGGATGAAGTTGTTGCGAGACTTGGGATTGTGCTAAGGAAGTTTATCTTTTAATTCCTATTGAATAAAGAATTTGTGATAGTTACCAGTCCTGAAGGGGTACATGCCACATGACTTTATGAGGGAAACATACCACATGTGTGTTTGGGAAGGGTACATACCACATGTGTTTGGGAGGGGCACATTCCACATGTGTTTTGGAGGGGCACATACCACATGTGTTTTTGAGGGGCACATACAACTTGACTTTGTGAGGGGCCCATTATTACAAAATGTGTTTTTATTGGAGGGGCACGTACCATATGTCTGGGAAGGGGAAAATACAACACATGGTTTGGATTGGCACATAGGAGGGCATGTGGTGTTTGGGGAGGGCACGTGGTGTTTTGGGAGGGCATACAGTATTTACAGATTACTACAGCATAACAGATTTTTTCCAAACATGGAAACCTATTTAAATCGACCAGTACAAATAGGTTGTGAGAAATTCTGTGATAAACAGCTTTACAGAGGGCAGGCATTAATTCTGTACGAAAGACAAGTAATCGATAATGAAAGATATAAAAAGGTCCACCTAATATATGTTGTGAGACTTTTTGGGAATACAACTTCTTTGGGTGAAATTTGAATTAAAACAAAAAGACACTTGGGTGATTTGAGGTAGACAAATAGTAGTATTTATCTACCTGTGTTTGATTTCACGATTTGATAAAAGTATTTGTAACACAGTTACTGAGTGAGGTCAGCTAAAAAACGTAGGATAAGCTCGATAAGGGTCTAACCTGCCAACCTTCGAAGGGGTCAGAGGTCGAAGTACTAACAGTCAGTATTGGAATAAATGTGTGTGACATATTACTATGGATGGAAGCAGTTTGAGGTGACAAACTATATTGGAGGAAGAAAATCCTTAACCTGTGAGATATACCACTTGTAGACCTTAAAACCTCGTTTCTGATTCGGACTGTTATCAAGATGGCTAGTGAATTTTGTGACTGAAATGAATTTACAGCAAAACATGGATATGTATTTAACTGGATTTTAAAAATGACTGTGTTTCAGTTGAAGATGTTGTGTGGTTTTTGTTGGAGTATCTTATTATTAACTGTTCGTAGTTGTTGAAGTACTTGTGTAATTTTCACGTGGTTGATATAGGCAGGCATAATTACCATGGCAAAATGATATCAATCTTGATCTTAAATGAGTTTACTTGTATTGTAAATGTAATGCTGATATTAATTAAAACCAAATCATTCACTTGTTTCATTGACATTTAAATGAGATAATTTGTAATAAGTATTTAAATAATCAATTAAATACTTCATTAGATTTCATTTCAAATCTCATGGATTATGAACAGTTGCATTTTTTTTTCTTGTAAATAATAAATATTAGAATTTGTGTTTTCATATTTCCAGAATTGAAAACTTCATTTCTTGGATTTTAATAGCTTTTCTTTCAAACGTCGGATTATCACTTTTAATAAATAAGAATATGTCATTAATACAGGCTGTGTTTTTTAGCTTAGAAACACAAATGTGTAATAGAGAAATCTTCATATACAAAATACTATTCAGATCGAAAAAAATTGAGGTAGAAAAAAAAATATTCAGCAAATTATCAACATTCGCTCTGTTATTATTTCTTTAATCATCACAAAACTGAAACATATGATTGATGAACGTTTATAGTTTGTTTGTTAAAGGTTTGACTTGTGTTTATTTCTTGATTAAGAAGACTGATGAATTCTGATATATTAGGTAGGGTAGTTAAGTAACTTTTTCATAATTACATTTTAAACAATTGGAATAATTGAAATGAGTTTTCAGATGAGTGTTGAACTTTCATTTTGAATGAATTTGAAGCAAAAATGTCTGACAAAATCAAAGAAGGCATGAAATACTGTTATATTGGTTTATTCTCTTTGTAGAGTATCAAACTTTTCAAACAAAAATTTCTGATAAAACTTCTATAATATAAAAAAAAAATCATAAATGTTTTACTTTTAAATGTTCAAAATAGTTAATTTTGATGTTTGTCAGGTTTGCTTTGGTATGACAAATGTTTACTTAAGCACACTTAGCAGCTCCACTGGGTGTAAGGTTGATGGGAAGTAGTACTATGATAGATTGGCAAAATAAGTCATTCCACACCACGTTGATTATTCTCGAAAAAATCTGTAAGAATGTGTAGCTGGCTTAACTTCCACATTGTCATATTTAATCAAAAGGCTCCGCAATGGAACTGCTGATATTAAAAATTGTTAAAGTATAAGATAAAATCGGTTATTATGTCAATACTGGTAATAATGAACTCCACCAGTTAATTTTTGATTGAGTCGACTTAACCAGGTGGTTTGTGATTGAGTCGACTTAACCAGGTGGTTTGTGATTGAGTCGACTTAACCAGGTGGTTTGTGATTGAGTCGACTTAACCAGGTGGTTTGTGATTGAGTCGACTTAACCAGGTGGTTTGTGATTGAGTTGATTTCACCAGCTAATTTGTAATTGAATTGACCTAGCTGTAAATTTGTGATTGAGATTTCATAAACCAGTTAATTTTGGATTGAGTTGACCTAAACCAGTTAATTTTGGATTGAGTTGACCTAAACCAGTTCATTTGTGATGGAATTGACCTAACAGTTAATTTGTGATTGAGTCAACTTAACCAGTGAAGTTTTTAATTGAGTTGACTTACCCTATTGACTTTGTTACTCAGTTAACGTAACAAGTTAATTTATACTTACAGGGCAGATGCTGTCTCACCACAGATAGCTGATGGGGTAGACAAGGTTATGTCGGAGGACCACACCCTCATTGAAAACCAAGAGGATTGGAAAAAAACGTATGATGACAACATCGATGATGACGCTCATTTAAACAACTCCAGTTACCATGGTAATAGTCATGAAAAAGACAACCATCTTGACAACTCCAGTTTCCATCGGGATACTCATGACCTTGAGGATAGTTCCAGTCCAATAGTTTCTCCATACGACGATAGTCCTAATATCAACAACACCTCGTACATCTCCGATGGAAGCAGTTTCGACACAGACAGCATCAATTTGGTACCGAATAAGGAGGGCGTTTTTTTCTGTCACCTCTGTAGCTTCTCAGGTAAGTTTGTTTAAAACAAATTATATTTGTAAACAGTAAACCCTGGTAAAAATGCCTGTCCATATTTATATGATTTACAACACAATTCCTGAATTTAAGTCAGAATTTGTATGTTGTCTTCCTTCGCTCAGTGATCACTTTTTGTTGGTACTTGTTTCGATCAGAATATATTTAGTCGAGCGGCATTTCAGATAGTGTCCACTAATACTCCGTCACCGTCGTGAGTTTTGTCTTGCTCGTTATCATCATACCTCATGATGGTTCATCATTTCAGGAGCAATGGAACATCAATGTTTAAGTTATTCTCAAGATAAAAGATTTAAGATCTTAGCTTATGTTAACATCTCCTTACTTTTGTTTCCAACTTTTTCTTGACCATCATATGATAAATCGATCATACACTAGAGTGTTTATCACAGGTTTTTGGGGATTAAACTTTGCTTTATTCACATTTAAGTGATTAAAAATAATAGCCAAATTCAACATCAAGCAGACATTTTTACACTGAATCAACTTCTCAGAATATTTATTACATGCCTGTTCATTTGGACGCCAATTAATTTACGGACATGCATGAAATTGAATCCCTGTGAATGGGGCAATTAGGAATATTAGCTCAGCATATAGTATAGCTCTAGTTAGGTAAAGCTATACTGTTGTGTATTTGCATGTGCTTATCAGGCACATTTACTGTGTGCTTAAAAACAATAATGTTACATTTCATGAGTCAGTTAAACAATAGAATTTCCATTTTATCAGTCCGTGTTCAAAAACATTGTTATTGTATAAGTATGTCACTCAGGTGAATCAGGTGATTTATCAGGGGAGATAACTGTGGTGGAAGTTTGTGACCTCACTTCCACTCGCAATCGCTTGAACTTTTTACTCTTCTTATCAGCAAAACATGATAAAATAAATGTTCTACGCAAATAAATAAAGGTTGTGACCTTATCATGACAAAAACGTCAAAAACACGGAGAACTCTACGTATGTAAAGACACTCCTGCCTTTTTGAACCTCTCTAAATCTTTAAGGACAAAACTTTACCTGTATTTGTTTAAGAAACATTCTTATCTAAAATACACTCTGCTGATAAATTATGATCTTTTTATCACTACAATGACCTAGTTTTACCCACAAAATGTACCTGAAAGATAGACTGATCCTTGATTTAATCCCGATTTAACATGAGGCAGTTTGATTTAATTTTGTTTTGTTCAGACTTGAGTGGTTTAAGGGAAAGGAGGGGGTGTTGTATAAGGGGATGTAAGACCACTTACCTGTACAGGTGAAATAAATTAGCTCTCTTTATTGCCGTTATTTTCTCATAAATAACTTCTTATTAATTTTGGTTCTCTGACCAGGAAATTTGGAGGTCTCAGGTATGGAGAAATTTATTTCAGTAATCTATTACATTGACATCGCAAATGACGAATAAAATTATTTTATAGAATAGTGTGTCAGTCCGAAAGTCCAAAGATAAAAACTGTTTTATCTAATGGTGCATAATGCACAACATAAAATGTTTCATTTATTGGCGCGAACATCCTTCACATATTTTGAACTATGAGAAAAAAATGGCAAAAATCTTGTCTGAATTTGTGATGTTAAGAAGGACTTGTTTATGAACTGGAGGTTGATATCACACACCTTGTGTTTGTTTGACAGACCATAGACTATAGATATCACCTGTGTCAGATTATCACATGGTCATTTTAAATTTGTTATTAATAGACAGTGGATTTCATATCATATCTTTTACATACAGAATTTTCAGAATGCTACTCTTAGCAGAGTATGATTTTAAGGTTTCAATCTGTTTTCTGAGTTTTAAAGTACAGACAGATGACATAGAGATCTTGGATAACCATATCATTTTCCACCCAATACCCTTCTATACACTGATTTATCTCTTCTTTCAGAAATTTAGCCATTTGATGGAAATTTTTTTTTTTAACCATTTGATGTCAAAACTGAAATATGGTATATTAGCTATGTCATATTTTTTCCTGTGAACAGGAACTTAAGAGGCACATTAAAACTATTTCTAAATAAAACTTTGCCAAAATCGATATTTACCCTTCAATATGACGCAGAAAAAGCTAAAATTAGACACTGACGAAAAAAAAAGAAATATGATATAGAAAAAAAATGGAAAAGAAAAGATAGATGCAAAGTGATTCATAGTAACATTAGCATTTGTATTTAATTACAGGAAGAAACCAAGGAGAATTTGAACAGCATATGACCTGTCATTTTGAACATACCTGCCCTCATTGCGACTACAAATCACGAACCGAAGGACGTTTGAAACGTCACATCAAAGATTTTCATACTGAAGACCCCCCAGAAGGATTTGGTTCCAAAAGAAACATGGGGCGACCAAAAGTGTTTAGATGCAAGCAATGTGATTTTTCAGCAGTAGAGAAGGTAAAATATATATTTTTTTTTCTTTTATAAGGAAAAATAATTAAAATAAGCAGTATTAAATTTGTCAAAACTGCAGATATTACACTTGTCTGTTGAATACAGTTCATGTCTTCACATGTAATATGCTGCTGTGAAAAATGTATTATTGAGAGAAGCAAAAAAGGTCTTTAGAAATTGTGACCATTCAAATTGTTAAGTGGAAGAAAAATTTAACCCTAGGTTAAAGGAAATCTTATGAGAACATCTCACCGATATGTGAATCAGATATTGATCATTACAGGATGTTTGTCCTTAATAAAGAATATTGTTTAACACAGACAACAGCTTGTTGTTTACAGGTATATTAGATATAGGCGATGTACTTCAGTTATCCTGGAACGCTTTTTTACTAGGATGGACGACTAAATATACTTGATGTGGTGCTATCAAGTTTAAGCGTATTGTCAATTGTTTGGAAATAATGCAATAATTTCTATTAAAATCAATGTACAGAAACCTCTAGTTTGAGTGTTATACATTTGGCATGAAAAGCGCTAAAATAAATAACAGCTAATACCTATATAATATATATATATAGATAAATATTTATAGTTATAACACCTAATGACATATATATAGGATGAATCTTGAAATGAAACAATCAATTTCAAACTCACTGTATTTATATTTCTTTTCACAGGAAGAGTTTTGGGCTCATGCTCGCAGCCACATCAAGGAGGACAAGATCCTGCAGTGCCCACGCTGTCCCTTTGTCACGGAGTACAAGCATCACTTAGAGTATCACCTTCGTAACCACTTTGGATCAAAGCCATTCAAATGTAACAAATGTAACTACTCATGTGTGAACAAGTCCATGCTGAACAGTCACATGAAATCTCACACGAATGTTTATCAGTATAGATGTGCCGATTGTACATATGCCACGAAATACTGCCACAGTCTCAAGCTTCATCTTCGTAAATACAACCACAAACCAGCCACAGTATTGAACTCGGATGGCAGTCTGCCACAGGGAATCGATGCAGAGGCATCCGGCCTCTCCCTGATGCAGAAGAGAGGTCCACCACGTGGACCTAGGGGTCCAAGAAAAGACAAATTTGACCCGTTTGTTAACCAGTTTCTTACAATGCCCCATGTTGGACTACCAGGTATGCCGACAGGTATGAACAGTGGAATGATGTCGCCTTATTGGCCAGTACTCAACCAGTTTCCTCCCAATGGCCTCCATGCCCCACCTCCACTTGTACCAGTATCCATGAACTCTCCACTTGGAACTCTACCTCAAGAATTTGCTCAACGTAATATTCCATTGTCCTCAACCCCAGGTATGGGTCACAGCCCAGGGAGTCTTAAGCAGTCCCCCAACTCTCTCTTCAAATGCAAGTTCTGCAGTTTTGCTTCTGATGTCAAAAACGATTTACTTCGACACGTAATGAAAGTACATGCATCAGAAAATAGAGATCTTTTTTCCATTATCGGCATTTCACCAGAGGCATTTCTTGAAGATCGTTACAAATATAAATTTGGAAGTCCAGGCAACAAGATTGCTGCTGAGGATGGGAAATATCCTCAACTGAATATCAAGAGAGAACCTTCTCCTGATGGTAGTGTGAAGTCTAACACACCTTCTTACCCAGAGGATTACCCCATGGGAGCCTCACCAACTAAACCTAGGTATCTTCACAGTCCAAATGGAGGTCTTGCAGGTTTGCCAAAGATGTCCTTTGATTCCTATAAAAATGGAATGAAGAGTCCCCTGAAAGTCTCCGACCCTCCTGCTGGTGAAGACATAATTAAGCAGATGATGCACAAATTTGGATCCGGAATGCCAGCAACAAGCCCACGTGTCAGTCGTGAATCAGCACCTCTAGATCTCACTAAGCGAAGGTCTCCGTCAACAAGTCCTTCCCTGGCAGAAGGTTACAACCAACAGCCTCAAGAGAGGGACTCATTCCAAGACCAACACAATATGCCAACTGGTGAAGAAATGTTTGAAAATGATCAACCAAGAAAGAGACCAACTGAGGATCTCCTTGTCGATTCGCAACAAGAGATGTACGAAAATGAACCACCGAAGAAAAGGTCAAGGAAAGGAAAGGCCTTCAAGTTGGACACACTTTGTATGAAGTTGCAAGAGAAAGCTGGAGATAGTGATGTTGAAGATGCCTACAGTGGATCGGATAGCTATGCTGATAATGAGGCACTCGGGATGCAACAAGAATGTGACTCGGAACCGTATGGTACAGAAACCAACAGCAATGAAGATCTGGTTGAAGACAGACCAGAGGACAAAGAGATCACTAGTCATGCTGATGACTTTGAAGATGTTCATAAAAACCTTGCCATCCTCAATAATGGAAAGTGTAATAAGTTTCCAGATGAAGAGCATAAGGAAGACATGGAAAGAAGAGAATCGGTAAAGGAAGAGGAAATAAGAGATGAAAATGGCAAATACAGAGAACAGATGAATTTGAATATCAAGAAAGCATTGGAAATGGCACAGACAAAGATGAAGGAAACTGGAAGACGAAAGGAAATGGAAATGTCAGTAAATGCTTGGAATGAGTCAAATAAAGCTTACCATTTACCACGAGGCTTGAATGGTCACAGTCTACCTTCAACTCCTGAGCTCGACTTGTTCAACGGCCGATTTCATGTTGGAAATGCCAGTGCCCCCATCGTCACCAGCACTCCTAAGTCAAAAAGTGCTGGTGTAATTGGACAGGAGGCGGATAAATACGAATGCACCTACTGTGAAATAGCTTTTCGTAACTGTGTTATGTATACCATGCACATGGGGTATCATGGTTACCGAAATCCCTTCAAATGTAATATGTGTGGTTTGACCTGCAGGGACAAAGTGGATTTTTTCCTCCATATTGCTCGTGAGGCGCACAATTGATTGTTTAATATGGTAGATATTGTTGTAACAGTGGAAACCAACTCATTAACTAAATGGACTGCACACCTGGTTGCTATAGATTTAAAACTCGACTAGTCACTGTTTCCTTATACAGTTTTAGTGCTGCCTGTTAAACAGCCTCGTTCTCTCAGAAGTGGAAACATGTATTCCAAATCCTATTGTGCATACAAATTCCGTTGCATATTAAGGAGATAGACTACATCTCAAGAAGGATAAACAAGATGAATTTGTGAAAAACTTTTTGAAGAAGTTTTTATGCATAGTTGACATAGAAGTAATAAAGAAAGGGAATGTGAAGTAATAAAGAAAGGGAATGTGATTGGTTAAGATGCATGATGGGAAAAAGTGGCCATTGTTTCAGTGTAAATGTTGTTGAATAATTTATTACATGTATTATTATATATATATAATGTACCCTCAGATGCTGTTTTGTTCCATTCTGTTGAGGAGGTAATTTAATGCAATATATGCCTTTCACATGCTATAAAACGGGTGTTTATTTTAATCTGTATATAAATAGGAGACATTAATATTAAGCACACTCCTCCATTCCATTGTACAGACAAAAAGCAGTTCCTGAGGGGCCATCAAGTATTCATTATTTACATTTTGAGTATTTTGAAAGACTTTTTATTGTAATATTTTGAATCAATTTAATAAGACTAGATTAGTTGTGGAAGGAAAGACATCAAAAAAATTATGATAAAAGGGAGATAACTTTTCAATATCTTATTTATTAAGTAAAATCCTGCAATATTTTAGTATAGAGTTTTTTTTTTATTGTTCCACTATATAAACAATTATCACTTTCCCTTCCATTCTTCATTGACCATTTTGTCGAAGGCAGCTAGTCAAAATATCGGATCATCTTTATTGGACATTGTTTTGTTACGTATGATATTTCTGATGGGGCCATGGTTAATACGGGTTATTTGATTGGATGTCTCACCATGCTACATACGGGTCAATATATTAGACAGATGTTCCAATTGAACATCAACTCAGACTAGTTTCCCTTGTCTTTTTTTTTTCATTTTATGCTCTAATTTCTTGTTAAATTTAAAATTCCTGTACAATACTTTGAAGAAAAATATGTATCTGTGTAGATGATAAAAACATGCATCACAGAGATGTTTGAATATTTGTAGTTAGATTGAATAATAGATCATATTGCACTGCACCACATGAAATTGCCATGTTATTTTCATCTTCGTAGATTTGATTTCTTTCGTAGATCAGTAATTTCACCCACACAGTAGTTCAGACAGAGTGATCATTATATTAAATTTGAATTTAAATACAAGTCAGATTGAAATAACAATTCTTTCATGTTTTATTTGGCAATAGTATCTAGTTTTGTTTGTTTTTTCTATTTTACATCATATATGTGACCTTTCAGTCCCAACATCTTTTGTGTAGTTTATGTAATTATTGATTCCAACATACACAATGATATAGAATCACTGCAAAAATCAATCTTAAACAGTCTTGAAATCAAGACTGCTGTTTATAACATATATCTAGACGGCCAGGTGTTCAATAACTTATTAAGTCTGATTTTCAGAATGTAATTTTGAAGACATTTAAAAAAATTTTTCTCTTCTTTAGCCCCTGATTATCACTTTGACTACCAGTTAATGTAATTTCAGTTTTAAATTTGCATATTTTGAACACAATTTAGACTGAAATAAAAAAAAGTTATAATTATTGTTTAGATTTTGTGATTGTAAACAAAACTTCTAGAACTCATCCAAGTTCCTATAAAAGTTTCCATATCTTGTGTCTGTGATACTGACATACCAAAAAATGCTTCAAAAATATTAAACTATCCCCTAACAAGGAATCTGTTAAAACTGTGTACTTATTTATAAAATAATTTGTTATTTCAAGAGATATCCAGGTAAGTGTATAGTTTCTGAATATTTTGCTGTAGTAAGTCCTTACAATGATAAATCCTTTTGTCCTAGCAGATAGCGTAGTTGTAGTTTTAATGCAATAAGATTTTGTCTTTTATCCCGGTAATTAAGTTAAATATAGTGTTTAAAATCAGCTAGTCAAACGACATTGTTTATATCCCTCATCATAATTAATATATATATTGTTGATTTGTATAAAGTTGTATTTAATTAACTCTGGACTCGCTATAGCCTTGATCCTTCTTACATGGTCTGCATAATCATTAGGTTCTTTTTTTTTCACATATGCACAAATTTGTTCGAAGGGGAAAAAAAGGAAAGAGAGAGAGGGAGAGAGAGAAAAAAAAATCTGCAGATAAAAATTGAAAGCTAGATTTAAATGATTTCATTTTTTCACATCAGGTTTTGTTTTCAACCTCATTTGCTATCAATCTTAATCATTTACATAAATGGTGCAAGTTGATCATTTGTTTTCTGGTATATGTTATGTTACAACTCTGCTGATTATACAATACGCAGTCCACTGCACACTTATCAGGTTTTTGTTTTGTTTTTTTAATGCATGTTTTATTTTTCATGTTTAATCCTTATTTGTGTTCTTGCAAATGTCTTGACATTGCAAAGGACAGGTGCTTTTTGATTGTCTACAGTGTCAAAGTGTTGCATTACTGAACTGACAGGTGTTACACATTTTCAATAGTTTAATTTACATGATGTTTATTTGTTTGTTTTACACAATTTTCTGACTCAAATGAAGTAAACCGGACTTTTCCTTGATATGGGTTTTTTTTTCCTGAAAAATGAAAGGGTCAGTCAGGAGTGAAAAAATTCATATTCTAAAGAAAAACATTTTTGAAAACTGGAAAATTGAGACCTTGAAGTTAAATTGGTGGTGAATGAAAAGAGAGGCATTTTTATTAGTGTTTTATGCTGTCAATATACGCACTGTAATTCAGTATGCCACAGTTTGATACAGCTGTAGAACATTGATTTTTGTTGATCGGTGCTTTTTGTCGAAATCGCTTTCTACAAATATTTTCTTTGTTTTGTTACCAAGTCATGCTCTTGTGACTTTTGACCTCCAGTAGAAACTATGTTCTAGTAACATTAGACCATTGGTAGAAGACAGGCTCATGTGAACATATTTTTTTTCTGTTAACAATCACAAAAAATCAGATTGATAAACTGTTAGGTTATCACTGAATTAAACAGTCTAGTTTGATATTTCACGATGATATGTGTTGTAATGATGTAGTTGTTGTTGACACAAATTAAAATGTTTCTTACATGATGTATAAAGTTAGTGCTTTTAAAATGATTTACAAGTTGTCCTCTACACAGTTGATGTAGGGGCTTTGTATCAAAATGTACATGTTTATTTCTGCAGCTTTTAGCAATATTAAAGCTAAATAAGGACAGTTGATTGATTGCAAGAGTTCCTTACTTCCAAAGGGAGATAACTATGGGCATTATTATGGACAATACAGATACAAGAATTTATGAAAATATGCCATGTATAATTATTGTAAAACTTTTTATTCTAGAATTATTTGTATAAATATTCTATTTCTGAAATTATTTGCATAAATATCATTTTTAACTAGATCAAACATTTTCACAAACAATTTTTAAAATTCGACGAAATAATAAAATATTTTGTTTTAATCTGGGATGTTAATCTCTGTAAGCTCTAATTCTTGAATAATTTATATGGTTTTAGCGTTACTTTTTTATGATATTTTAAAAATGAATCAAAATGTTTCCAATGAATGAAAACCCCAAGGATTGGGTGATTCAGTTATATGATGTTTGTTGAACTGCATCTGAACTGTTTTAGTACCTAATGTTATCACTCTGTTACAAAGAAGTGATAAACAGGAGGCTTTTGACAATATTCACTCATCAGATGCTAGCTACTTAAGACTTACTGTCTACTGTGAAGGGGACCAAATATCACCCTTTTACACGACATTAGTATCCTGGCAGCATCGTTTACAGAATGGAATATACATGTATTACTGTGGCCTAGTCCTCAAAAAGGGGAGAAACATTACTGTGTGTTATGTGTGAAAAGTTGAGGGGCATAGAACCAGGAAAAGGAGTCCGACATATTTTACCACTTGTTATAAAGCCTGCCTGTGCTGACGGAGAATTCTTTCAACTCTTCCATGTTGTGGAAAGACTGTCATACCACAGTATCATATAATCCGTAGTGAAATATGCGAACAGGTTTTGTTGATATTAAAGTAAGTGGATGGTTGGATTAAAATGAATATTATGCTATCCAATGACAAACTTTTTAGATTTTGTAAAAGTTGCTTTTGTTGATGGCTAAAAAAATTTCGAAGGTTTCATGACAAGCTTGATGCAGATGTCATGAATTGATGGTGATTTTCTCTATCAATTTTATTATCAACATATATGAATATATTTTTCGCATTTTTTTGAAATCCTTAAAAATAGCAAAAAAGTATTATAATTCTCAAAATAACAACTCTTACAGTAATTGTGTAAAAATTTTGATATTGGCATCAAGTTTAATGTATTCTTGCCTCTAACAGATAGATAACTACCTCAGGGAATATAGGATATGTAAATAAAGGGAGAAAACTGCATTATTTATGAAGAATTTTGTTTATAATAATGATATATTTATTGGATGTTTTGTAAATATATATCTAGAGACATTTGCTGTTTTTCCGCAAAACTCAGTTGTTTCTTGTTATACCTCCTCATACTTGACACAAATGTTTTGTTATAGAATCCAAGATTTTGTGTTTTAGATTGCTACACAAAGATTTTTGTTTTTAATGAATGATTTTAATTTCTGCTGTAGAAAATCAAATTGATTTTTTTAATTCAAGAACATTTTTAAATTCTGGATTTTGATAAAAGTATCAATAATTATGTTTAGCTTGTAAGTGTGTTACAAAATCCATGCATGTAGGTGTTAAGTTTTACAACTACATACACTTACCAACATGACTTAAAACAATTTTTGGTAAAATGTTCTTTTAAAGAAATAAAGAGAACTTCTGTGAACTCAACCACTTTTAAAAAGAA